ACTGTATGACAGAATAACAGCACAGCTTCAGTTCCGGAAGTGTTTATGTCAGCTTCAGTTCCGGAAATGCTTATGTCAGCTTCAGTGCAGAAACTGCCAAAGACATGTCCAAATCAGATATGTGCGCCCTGCTGTCTGGTTAACTGATTAATCTGTCCACGTGGTGTTACTAGTCCAGGTCAAATTTCTATTATTAATTATTTGATACGCGCGCCGTGCTGTCCGGTTAACTGATTAACCTGTCCACTAGGTGTTACTAGTCCAGGTCATGTTTCTATTGTTAATTATTAGATATGTGCGCCCTGCTGTCTGGTTAACTGATTAACCTGTCCACGTGGTGTTACTAGTCCAGGTCATGTTTCTATTGTTAATTATTAGATACGTGCGCCGTGCTGTCTGATTAACTGATTAACCTGTCCACGTGGTGTTACTAGTCCAGGTCACGTTTCTATTGTTAATTATTAGATACGTGCGCCCTGCTGTCTGGTTAACTGATTAACCTGTCCACGTGGTGTTACTAGTCCAGGTCACGTTTCTATTGTTAATTATTAGATACGTGCGCTCTGCTGTCTGATTAACTGATTAACTAGTCCACGTGGTGTTATTAGTCCAGCTCGTGTTTCTATTGTTAATTATTTGTACAGAACGTGCTAGTGATACGTTAAGGCTGACTATTAATAAACGTCACCTTTTTGAACCCGATATTCATCATTTCCTTCAACATTATACAACTAACTATTCTATTTCTATACATATTGTAGTTTTATCTCCGTTTGTTCAAGTGAAACTGTACACGCTTCTGGTTATAGTTCTCACTACCTACGGTATTTATTTTTGTTCCTACGTCTCGTGGTGTATAAATATACGGTTATCGCCTAGTTATCAGTCAACGTGGCGAAATGGCATCTTTACGAAAGTCTGTTCTATTTCTCCTGCTATTATTAATTGGATGTTAAGAGAAAAACTGACGATATGGAGCAGAGTCTGTAAGTCGATTAATCCGCTCTTCCTGCTGTTATTCTGTCATACAGTATTGATTAGATTACTCACAAACACTTCCGGAACTGAAGCTGACATAAACACTTTCTGCACTGAAGCTGACATAAGCACTTCCGGAACTGAAGCTGACACAAGCACTTCCGGAACTGAAGCTGACATGAGCACTGTCTGGCCTGAAGCTAATCACGTAACATTGCAATTAGTTCAATACGTCCGTACAAGATGTAAATAAAACAAATAATAAACAACATTTTAACGATACGTTATTTCTACGAACAAAAAAAAATAATAATAATAACACGAGTTTGTTTACAATTATTAACTTACTCGAGATCTTTTGATGAATTACGCTTACAACAGGAACAAAAGTGGTCTGTCATTTTCTCTAAGGAAGTCGATACGAAATCAAACTTCAAACGCGTTAGGGAAATGAAACTCATTAAAATTACTACAAATTATTCATCTAAAAAAGGAAGATCTGAATAATCTCAACGTCATAAAGGCACTGTTTCTAATATATAAAAAAAAAGTTCTCGTTACGTCGAATATTAGAGATCGTGTTGTTGTTTTGCTTCTAACTTAATCAATAAATATATTCTCCCTACTTATACAACCTATTATATAGTTTTCAATGTAAGTTTGTTGCTGGTTTTTTTGTTTTTTTTCCGCAAACCTTCAGCGAATTATGGCGTCCACGTGATCGCCATCATCATTAGCTGTCTGTGATCGTTATCCCATCTTAATATCGAATATATTTTTTTCCGTGTACGAAATGAGCCGTTTCGAGAGCCAATAACGTGAACTGTATTATTGTGAGGCCCTCTAGCGTTCAATTACTTCTGGGTTAGGTTAGTAATGGTCGATAGAAAACATACCATCAGTGACTCGGTACTAAATATTCTAGAAATATCTCTATGGTGCAAAATATACATTATATTTTTTAACATTAACCAATTTGTTGCAAGAGTTCACAAGGCTGAATTATTCATATTTCTGAAGAAATGGTACATTTCTTGTATCGTTAACCATCACTAGGATGGTTATAAAAACATGAACATCAATGATGCAGTTCTTGTATTGTTAACTTACTAGGTCCGCATGTTCATGTTTTTACAATGATGTAGTTCTTGTATTGTTAACGTAAATATTTCCCCATATTTAGCTTATTCGTGTGAATTTTTAGAAGCAGCTGCACAAGTTTCTTTATTCTTAAGCTTTTAATTTTATAATACATCTAAAAGGTGACTATTAAGACACCCTCCAAACAAAATCCAATCAACCAACCATATATATATATATATATATTATACTTTTATCAATGTAGATTTCTGTTAATACGTTTTAAGAAGAAAACATAATTTGTGTTGTTGTTAAGCACAAAACTAAACAATGAGCTATCTCTGTTCTGCCCAATACAGGTATTGAGACCCGATTTTTAGCGTCGTAAACCTACTGACTTACCGCTGAGCCAATGGGGGTTGGGGAGGCGAACAATATAGCTTCACGACTGAAGTAGAGAAATCTGTTTTCAACGTCTTCCTGTTTCTTAGGGGCAGTTTTTAATTCTGTATGTAACTTAGTACTGATCGTCATAAACTAGTGTTTGTTAAAAACTAATAAACTATTCTACCTGTCTTTTCAACGAGATTCTTAATGTCAGCGAAATGCGGGAGAAAAACGGTAATTTCTTCAAAGTCTCTATTAACTGAGCTTTTAAAACATGTATCTTCACGATGTTTTAACAGTAATGAACCGTGAACATGTTTCTTTACACCTACTTCGCGATGTTCTAACGGTAATGGACCGTGAACCGTGTTTATTTACACCTACTTCGCGATGTTTTAACGGTAATGGGCCGTGAACCGTGTTTCTTTACACTAAGTTCGCGATGTTCTAACGGTAATGGACCGTGAACCGTGTTTCTTTACACCAAGTTCGCGATATTCTAACGGTAATGTACCGTGAACCGTGTTTATTTACACCTACTTCGCGATGTTTTAACGGTAATGGGCCGTGAACCGTGTTTTTTACACCAAGTTCGCGATATTCTAACGGTAATGGACCGTGAACCGTGTTTATTTACACCAAGTTCGCGATGTTCTACCGGTAATGGACCGTGAACCGTGTTTCTTTACACTTACTTCGCGATGTTTTAAAAGTAATGAATCATGAACGAAGTTTCTTCACACCTACTTCTTTCAAAGTTTGAGTTTTCCAAAACTCATAATTTATTCAGTAAAACCGGATGAAAAATCTGCACGACCCCTAAAACCTGAAATGTTAAAAGCTTATTGTGCATGTATATATAAGCTACAAGGTTTGTGTTTCCTTCACTAGCCCTCCCCCCCCCCCTCACTTCTCAATATTATAGTTTTGTATTTACAATTAAAAGGAATACAACGTTAAAATCATTACACAATAAATAGTTATTAAAAACAGCGACTTGCCCTAAAAAGCACTATGTTTCGGTGTCACCATCTTGTGGAATAACGGTAAAAGCTTGGTCTGGACTTATATAATCATTTACATAGCAATAACGCCATCTACACTAAAACTACCCAGAGCTACAAAACATCTGTTCATTAATTTTTATTATTTCTAGATCTGGACCAGATTCATTGTTTAATACGATATCACTATCTGGACCAGCTTCATTGTTTAATACGATATCACTATCTGGACCAGCTTCATTGTTTAATACGATATCACTATCTGGACCAGCTTCATTGTTTAATACGATATCACTATCTGGACCAGCTTCATTGTTTAATACGATATCACTATCTGGACTAGCTTCATTGTTTAATACGATATCACTATCTGGACCAGCTTCATTGTTTAATACGATATCACTATCTGGACCAGCTTCATTGTTTAATACGATATCACTATCTGGACCAGCTTCATTGTTTAATACGATATCACTAGTTTCTCTAATACTTAATTCTAATTTATCAACTTAGTGTTACTCCAGTCTATAACATGATATGTTGACTTATCAACTTAGTGTTATTCCAGTCTATAACATGATATGTTGATTTATCAACTTAGTGTTACTCCAGTCTATAACATATGTTGATTTATCAACTTAGTGTTACTCCACTCTATAACATGATATGTTGACTTGTCAACTTAGTGTTATTCCAGTCTATAACATATGTTGATTTATCAACTCAGTGTTACTCCAGTCTATAACATGTTGATTTATCAACTCAGTGTTACTCCAGTCTATAACATGTTGATTTATCAACTCAGTGTTACTCCAGTCTATAACATATGTTGATTTATCAACTTAGTGTTATTCCAGTCTATAACATATGTTGATTTATCAACTTAGTGTTACTCCAGTCTATAACATATGTTGATTTATCAACTCAGTGTTACTCCAATCTATAACATATGTTGATTTATCAACTCAGTGTTACTCCAATCTATAACATATGTTGACTTGTCAACTTAGTGTTATTCCAGTCTATAACATATGTTGATTTATCTCCAGTCTACAACATATGTTGATTTATCAACTCAGTGTTACTCCAGTCTATAACATATGTTGATTTATGTTAATTTGACCACAGATTTGAAATCGAAAAACAAACAAACAAAGATATCGTCCCTGTTTTTAATTACTATTTATTGTGTAATGATTTTAATGTTGTATTTCTTTTAATTGTAAGTATAGATTTTTTACGCAAGTGTCGTTTTATAGTTTTGTTTGTGCAACTAGATTCGGTATGGGGTAAAAATATAACAGGGTTATTCAAACCGACACAATTAAGGTGAGGAAATTAAAAAAGAAAAATACCAGAGAATGAGATCAGATGGTCGGTTGGCAGCAGAGGCTTTTGTTAAAGGCTACGAGTTAGATTGCTTTAAATAACTCATCTTTCGCTGTTCTAATGGAACCACCGCGTAGTTTGAACGGCCAAAGTTGTGTTTTTTAGGCTGCTAGGGCCGTATTCATACATTATTGTATACAAACTAACGTTAAAAAACCGTCAGAAAGACAACTAGAAAATGCCTTGTCTAGCAACTACGTTGAGTTCACTCATTGGACTAGAACGTTTAGGTACATATGTAATAACAAAGAAGACTAAGATTCCACTGGCCAATCTCCAACTTTACATGCATGTTAGTGAAGTACAGGCAATGGTACAGAAAAGGCTATTAAATACTTAACAAAAGAGTATAAACCATTTTCCAACAAAGTTGAAAATTGCACAAAGGATTCGCGCTTAACGATACGCAAGTCCTGAGCGGAAGCACACATGCTCCCTCTGTTTCCAAGCTCGTGCAATTAAAGATCTCCGAGTTTCAATAATAATATATAGAAATAAAAATTAGAATTAGTAAAAGCCTCATAATGTACCGTGACGAACTCTTAAAAATGCTCTAAAATATAAATAAAACCAAGTACCAAAACATTTAGCAGGCTAGATAGAGGCAACACTTATTTCACTAACTCCGCGTTTAAAAATAAGTGAACACCAGTTCACAAGCCTAAAAAGCAAAGCGATATGAAAATAAATATAATATATTTCTAACAAGAAAAAGCTACTTTTTTTAGGCACCTTATCCTGCAGAAGACTTCAAAAATATGTTTTACTACATTACTAATTAATTCTATACCAGCCGTAGGCGGTGTTTTATGACTTTGTTTGCAAGAAAATTAAGAAACGATTAGTAGTATACAATATTTGTATTATCGACACATCAGAGACAATAGTGCCCTCTATGACATAGTAGAGCATCTTGGACCAGATGCTCAAATAATCTGTAGCCTGATGAAGATATATCGCTGCTAGATAAACGTAAAAATGCAAACTCCAAAAACCGCCTAATAAAGCGTTCTTCTGTCAACGTGTAAAACGGTAAGAACCGAGAACACACAAACCGCTTAATGAAGCGTTCATCTGTCCAGAAGTGTAAGAACTATTATCGTACTACGTATAATTAATGACACTTTACTAATGAAGCTCGCTCACAGCTTTTCATTAGATATAGTATTATTCTATAAAACTTTTTTTCCCATGTAAACGACTTTGATTAGGCAATTGTATCTTATGGCACTTTTCACGGAACGGATGCTTATCTCACCTACAGGAAGCTCTGAATACTTAAAACAGGTGACTATAAACTAGTTTTAATTTATAAGCACAACAACAAGAGGTGAGCTCGTAATTTGATCATAACACGTGCACAATGTTTGAATAATATAGTCATTTGTTGACTTCAAGACTAACTGACAGCGGTATCATTTTGGTCACCGAGTCAACAGGGGCGAAAATCTGGCTCGGATAAGCGTAGGCCTATTAACTCGAACAACACAGAAAAACAACTTGTTCATTCAACTCTTATACAAAACACAAATAACGTATAGGAAATTAAATATTAAGAATCTAAACAACATTACCCGGTTACAACTGACATTGACTCAAGACGTGATTTGGTCGGTCCTTTTTTTTTTTTTTCCTTGATGAAAGGTATTTGAAATATAAGCAACTATGTTTTGGGCGACACCAAAAAAAAAAAAACATAACAGAAAGTAAAGTTTCCGTCGAATGAGTATTCGAAAATGAAATTTGTCTTCTATTTTCGGAACTTGTAAGCGACACAGTTTTGTTTCCCATTAACTTTATGGTTCTCTGGACACTAAATGAGGGGAAAACATTTTGTTAAACCGGAAACATTCCACCCGCGTCAGATAGGCTGGTCGCCGAACTACCTACCCTTCCTTCCCTTGCCGTTATATCACTCACCCGTTTTGTTTTTCTCGATTATAATTTTTGTACCTCGGTGATTTCTTCGTGTTTAGAAACCCGGGATGATGCCGTAGGACTCTAAACTCGACATTAGCACGTAGAAGAGCCACAGAGAAATTAAGCCAATAGAAGTTGGTAGTTTGTACTTCATGGGACCTCCTAACTCCCCTCCGACCACCTTGGAGCGACGAAGGAGAAGAACAATGCAGGCGACGAACGCACAAACGCAAAATAAAGTCACGGAAAATGCCAGACTTCCTGGATTCACACGAAACTCCTCCCCCTTTACTGCATGGTACACGGCTGCAATGGACCAAGCGATCCCGATCCCGAGGAAAACGTTCACTGCGTTGCTTCCGGTGACATTCCCGATTGAAGAGTCGGCGTAGCGGTCGTTTATTGCTGCCACTTTGCTGGCAAACGTGTCTGAAAATCGAAAAAGCAACACCATCTACTCTGGATTATTGCAACTTTTTTTATGATCATAACAGAAATATCACGACCAGTTTCTGAACCCGTAATTCGTTTCTTCGCGGGAGGTAAACTAGGATAAAGCAGGAAGTGTACAGTGTAACAGTTGGTAAAAGTAGCTGTCAGTGATGTGAAGATTATCCTACCAAATCTGACAACACGGGTTGGGTAGTTACTGGCGTAACAGTGCTCTTCAGTAAACGGAAAGATAATGGAAACGAGGATACTACGCTAAACAACAGTTATGAGGAGAAGAATTAGGAAAGGTTTCAAAACGTGAAATCTCAAAATAACTATAAAATACTTAGAATTTTGTCAAGTTTACCTATCATAATGTAAAGTGGTTATCGTATTCAAATAGTTAAGATTTATAAGTGAACACTGACAGGAATGACTTTTACTCTTGGACAGCTCGATCGTAGACCTCTGGTCTCTTTTTACTTAAAATTGAATGTTAAATAAAATACTAAAATAAGGAAGAATTTGAATACATTTTATGAAAACGTATCTAATAAAAAATAATTATAAAGGTGAATTGCAAAATGATTTAAAACGTAGAATTTCAAAACTACCGAGGGCATTTAAATCGAACTACAAAAGTATTATTGTAGCCTATGTCTTTAATATAAATGTTTCTCCAAATTTGCATTGCTGTTCAGCTGGCAGTTTAATGTCACGTGAGGAGCGCGTGGCCTGACGTCTGCAATATTCTCCTTAGTTTTAGAAGAGTTTAAGCAGTATAAAACGCGAACTAGGCCAAAGAGTAATTTAATGAATAATCAGTGCGTAATTTAGTCAGTTTGTTTGTCACTGTAAGCCGGTTAGTTCAGTGCTGTGAATATTGAACGTGTGTTTTAACTGAGTAATAATGGTAAGAAATCAGTAATTTAATTGAATTTCTGTTAGATGTAGTTTATTGATGACGTCAGGCGTTAGGTGAATGGTGGTTACACTAACCGTGGAACTTGACGAAAAAAAACTTAGTTAACCCTAAGTGTACAGCACCTTCCATTATTGGTTTACCGACTGAACCAGAATAACCCGCCCAAAAACAGGAACAGTACGTAATATATGAATGGAAATTAAAAAAAAAAAGGAAATTAATTAAAAACCAAACAAATACAACGAGAAAATAAATTCTACTTTCCAAAAGCTCTTTGGCGATAAAGTTTTTTGAATCGTGGTTTGTCCAAGACAGTTTCTTGAATCTGTGAGTCCTAAGAATCATTAAGTTTAAAACAATTTTTATAACACATATCGTAATCTATTTCAGCCTACTGATGTTAAACATTGTTATATTTTCTCCTTCATCACTACAAAATATAAATAATGAAAAAAATTCACAGTACTGGAAAAAAGAAAATAAAATAAAAAAAGGTTTTAACAGTCAATGCCATTATAATATTTCACAATGTAATATATAAAAGGCAACATGAATAAAAAGCTAGTTTAGCGTATGTTAGACTATTGGATTAAATACGTAGGTTTGTAAAACGATGTACAGTGCCACTTCTACTATTCGCAAATGTTCGTTTCTGGCCACGTGCGGATAGTTGAGCTTCCTCCCACTCCCATGGTCTATGTACCATATAATTACTGACCATAATAAAATCAAATTAGGATTTTACATAAACAGTTATCGTAAATAATATTACGTAACGCTACAGTAACACGTTACCTTTGTGTTGGTGGTGATCTTGACGAGGGAGGTGGAAGACGAAGTTAGCGACAACCGTTTGACCCTAGAATACGTGGGCCAAAAATGTGCGCACACTTTACGTTTTCGATAAGTGAAATCACGGATAGTAGAGGTAGCACTGTTTATTAAACAAACTTAGTCATTAGATGACACATACAGCCAGGAAAATATTTCAATTCATACCTGATATAGTGGAATTAACTGGTACACATATCTACAAAAATTTACCTGATGACTAAATTATGAATCCTTCCTAAAACTAGAAAACTGAATGGGTTCTTAGTGGAATAAATAAAAACTACCGTACCTGGAATACTGGTTCCTAGCGCCACCAACGATATGGCTGTTACGGTGTCGCGCAAACCTACAGTGCAGCCGAAGAAAGAGGCCAAGTCGCCGACAATGGCCGTCAATAAACCTATAACTGCTATACTGCTTACGAAACAGGCCCAGCCTCCCCAGTAATCTAAACAGGGGAAGCAGAAAGAAAGAAGCAAAGGGCCGTCAGGTGAAGCTAATTCATACTGAAAGTTATGATAGCAACGGTAAGGCTTACGAGACTTGCGATGCTTTCTTACGTGTTTAACTAAATATTTATTATTAATATTTTTGTAAGTTTCCGCCACAAGAATAAGTTCTAATTTAATTCAGTCTTCCCCACGTAAGTTAGAAAAGCATGACAATTCACATGAAACCTGAGTTGCCTTTGGGTCTGAAAGAGAAAAAAAAAGAGAGTAATTATTACCATTTTTCCAGAAGAGGGCGTCTTAGTCCATCACTCTATGTTAGGCCTAAACCAACTTACCTGGTACACTCGTACCAAGAGCAACAAATGCAATGGCTGTGACCTGATCTTTGATCTCCAGGGTGCAACCGAAGTGGGAGGCTAAGTCGCCGATGAAAGCTGTGAGAATTCCTATTATACAGATAGAAGCGACGAAGCAAAGCCAGCCATCCAAATAATCTGCAGAACAGAAATAACTTAGCAGCATGCAGTAAAGGATCTTCAATCCAGACCACGTATAACGTTCTTTAATGTTATATAGAAAACAGAATGTCCAATGTTTCTTTTACTTGAACTACCAGAACGTGCAGAATATAAGATGGTTTGTATTTATCTTACTATTCCCCTTTAATTAAAGCATGAGAGCTCAGCATAGCTATTAACTATTTATTTTATTTATGTAACAATGTATGACTAATAAATAAATAAATAAACAGTTTTGGAACATGGCTGACTCTTATAACAGTATTAAATAAATAAACAGTTTTGGGGATATAACTTGAACGATTTTCGTTCGAGTAATAAATAAATAAATAAACAGTTTTGGAACATGGCTGACTCTTATAACAGTATTAAATAAATAAACAGTTTTTGGGGATATAACTTGAACGATTTTCGTTCTAGTAATAAATAAATAAACAGTTTTGGGACTTTACTTGACTAATTTTATTTCCCCAGTAAAAATTAAATAAAACTTTTGGAATATAATTTATTTTCAATATGGTGATAAATGAATAAATAGATCTTTTGGAACGAGACTAATATACACACCAGTAATTAATACATAACAAAACAATTGGGACATTACTTATCTGATAGTCATAACAGTATAAAATACATTAACATAACTTTCATAACATGACTGATTCTCACCCCATTAATAAATACATAAGAACTTTTCGAACATGACTGATTTTCACCACATTACTAAATACACAAGTAGAACTGTTGGGACATGACCGATTTTCAACCCAATAGTAACTACATAAGCAGAATTTTTGAGACGTGCCTGATTTTCACCCCAGTAATAAATACATAAGAACTTTTGAGACATGACTGATTTTCAACCCAGTAATAAATACATAAGGAGTATTTTTCAGACATGGCTGATTTTCACCCCATTAATAAATACAAAAGGATAATTTTTGAGACATGTCTGATTTTCACCCCAGTAATAAATACATAAAGAGTATTTTTCAGACATGGCTGATTTTCACCCCAGTAATAAATACAAAAGGATAATTTTTGAGACATGTATGATTATCATTCCAGTAATAAATACACAAGTAGAACTTTTGGGACATGACCGATTTTCACCCCAGTAATAAATACATAAGTAGAACTTTTGGGACAAGACGGATTTTCACCGCAGTAATAAATACACAAGTAGAACTGTTGGGACATGACCGATTTTCACCCCAGTAATAAATACATAAGAACTTTTGAGACATGTCTGATTTTCAACCCAGTAATAAATACATAAGGAGTATTTTTCAGACATGGCTGATTTTCACCCCAGTAATAAATACAAAAGGATAATTTATGAGACATGACTGATTTTCACCCCCAGTAATAAATACATAAGGACCATTTTTGAGACATGACTGATTTTCATTCCAGTAATAAATACACAAGTAGAACTTTTGGGACATGACCGATTTTCACCCCAGTAATAAATATATAAGTAGAACTGTTGGAATATGACTGATTCCTATCTTAACCTATACTTTAAAAAATGGTGCTTTAAAATGTTTTCTGTTCCCGCACAGTGCAAGGCTTTTTTTTTGTATATTTATTCCACAGAATAATAATTAATCCGTTAATTATACTAGCATATGTATTCGATAATAAGGGAAACTTGGAACTCATGTGGTCACAATACATCCCATAAGTCATTCAGGGACTGGAATATCAAAATTATCTACGGAAGCAAATTGAAAAGCCCCTGGTGTATGAAAACTTGTGCTTCAGCAATGAGAGCAAACATACGATCAATTATAACATTCTTTTCTTCTTGTGGTTGGTTAATTGATCATTACCTTAGGGGGCCACCTATCGACAAGAAAATAAGTTTTAAGGTTTGTGTATGGTTTGGTTTGTTTTCAATTTTGTGCAAAGCTACACGAGGGCTATCTGCGCTAGCCGTCCCTAATTTAGCAGTGAAAGACTAGAGGCAAGGTAGCTGTT